CCAGGAAGATTCGTGGTACTCATTTCTGTTAGAGGCTGAATCGACCATAAAGCCATGGTGTGGCTGCAAAGAATAGATCAAATGAAAAATTCAATGCCCTCATCGGGAGTCGAAACTGCGACCTTCCGGCTTGTAGTACAGTGTCTCAACCAATTACGCTACTGCGTGCCCCCAACTAAACTTCCCTATTATAGTTAATTTATTTACTTCAAAAGATCAGATATCATGATGTAAAAATACTACGTTCATTCAAACACAGTTTCGACCAGTTCGCTTAGGAATAATTTGTATTTATTTACTTTATTAATCAACGACAAAAAAAATGTGACATATACATAAGTGTTGCCTATTTGAAATCTTATTTTTTAATTACTGTTCGCTTCGTTATTTTAAGAGACAATTCCTCCAATACAGATCATTGCTAATTATTTCCCCCTTGAACAGTTCATCAAAGAGTTTTCATGAAGATAATATTAGCGGAAACAAAACGAGAAATACCCAACTAACGAACGCTTGCAATTTCAGCAGTGGCGGCTCGTAGCTAAAATTAGTGGGGGTGCTGCTCCAGAAGCGCACAGTTCCATACAAAGATCTGGCTACTGACATTAAGCTTAAGGATTATATATTGTATTGTACAAGTATAAAGAAAGAATGAAAGAAAAAAGGACTCATTACGAGTATATAAATGTTATCGGTAATATCATGTGGAAATTGGGGGTGCTCCAGTTCCGCAGTGCCTATACGCGGGCCGCCCCTGAATTTCAGTCTCGCTCGTGTAATTAAAACATAAAACATGTCACTGTTTTAATCTATTTGCGGCCTGTTGGCGCCTTGCTCGGCTTACTCTTCGACCCTGAAGATGGAAGCAATACGTTCCTCCAAAACGTATGTAAATTTCTATAAGACTACAATTAATATTATTACAATTGTTGTTATCATCCGCCCGTGTGGTCTCGTGGTCAGAGTTACTGGCTACAGATCCAGAGGTCCGGGTTTGATTACCTGCGCTACCAGATTTACTGAGAAGTAGTGGGTCTGGAACGGGGTCCACTCAGCCTAGTGAGGACAATTGAGGCGCTATTTCAAGGAAATAGAGGCTCAGGTCTAGAACACAGAGATTAAAAGCCGTGAGGATCCGTTGCGCTGACCACGCGACACCGTCTATATCACAAAAGTTGGCACTAACTTCGCCGACAAGCGGCGGTAGCTCGGTCGGTATATTTCGCTTGCGGACTACAAGCCACGGAGTTTTTTTTTGTTATCGAAATCATCATCTGTCTTGGTGACACCGATGGCTATGACACATGGGATTATTCTGCGAACTTTTCACCCGTCCTTAAAAATATTTTAAATCTAAGTTTATACCAGTAGTATTTTCCTGCTTTACGGAAGCAAGCGGCATAACATTCAAAGAGCTGAGTCAAAAAACTTCAGTGTGCATTACGTACAAGACCCTCACAGACTTCCATATTATTGTTAAGCAGTTTCTTCATTTCTTTTGGCTTATTTTGGACTTCACCCATCGTCTGGTAGGTAAAAGACAAAAAACCACAACGTTTCGGAAACTGGATCTGTCTCCATCTTCAGGTGGATAGGGAAGGATAAACCTACTCAGTTGGGCCCCTTAGAAAGAGCTAGTCTCAATCACTCGATTGAGTGATCCAGTGATCTCAGTCACTGAGTAGGTTTATCCTTCCGTATCCACCTGAAGACGGAGACAGATCCAGTGTCCGAAATGTCGTAGTTTTTTGTCTTTTTTGTCTTTTACATACCAGAAGATGGGTGAAGTCCAAAATAAGCCAAAAGAAGTACAGTATACACCATCGTCAGAATCCTTTCGAGTTTCTTCACTATCAAGATCAATATTTCTACGCTGTGGAACTTAAAGACATTTAGGGTTTTAATACGATATGAGCATACGACTAAGAGACAAATGCATTCATAGAGAAAAGTCAACGGAACTAATCCCAGGATTAAGTAACTTTTTCTTTACTCCTCAGATTGCTCATACTGTGTATGCTTACTACACCGTCCTGATGCAAACGCAGCAGTAACGCACCAACAGTAACATAGCAAGAACCAGCCAAATTACTTCTCAGTGCACTACAATGAGTATGGAACACAGATACTAATCTAGAAGAGCGACGAATTTTCTCATTTAAATCTAACTACTGTAACTTAGAACGCAATGTCACTGATGATAAAATGAGCAGGGGTAGCTCAGTAAGTAGAGTGAATAGCTACAGGCTGGACGACCGGGGATCGGTCTCCATCAGGGGACGCAGTTACCTTCATCACCGCCCCCGACTGAAGACCACGTACCTCTTATCCATTGGGTGTACAGGGTCAAGCGGCCGAAGTGTAAAGCTGATCATTCATCTCGATATAGTGCAGAAATTGAGTTTCTGCTCCCTCTGCATCTACATATAGAGTTGCTTAAGCATAGAGACATAGTTGCCTCATATACAGACAAGCTGAGAGTGACCGCTGTTTCGCAGCATTATGAAGCACGCAGGAAACAACATAATGTGAAGATACTCTAAAGCTCTGAAGGCGTGTTCCGAACAAGGATCTATATATGTAGTGCTGACATGTATATTCTTCAAACTATTTAAAAGAAAATAAAATTTCTCTAATGTGAGAATTCCGCGAAGGTATTTTATTTTAGATAAATATCTTCTGGGATATAATGATGTGTGTTCCAAAACGTCGGTTGGGTTTCAACGGATTACACGGCGTGATATCCGAGGAGATAAAACTTTTCCTGGATACAGATTGTTTATTCATTTATTTACTTACTTAGTCCGTTCCTCTTACACCTTTTGGTGTCGAGGTTGTCTTTTTCGTTTTGATCATTTTACAGACGGTAGGACTCAGCTCGTCGCAAGGCCTCTACCTAAACACAGGGCAACATAAATACAGAATAAACGCATACAAATACCAAACATCCATGCCTTGTGTGGGATTCGGGCCTATGATCCCGGCTTCCGAGCGAGCGAAGATAGTACATGCCTTAGACCGCTCGGCTAGTGTGACAGGCAGTATTTATTCATTCAATGTATATTTTTGACTTTTCGGCGATGTGAGTAAGTATCAAATATCAGTGAACAGTTGCATGTGAATCTAATATTTGTGTACTATAAGGAAAGAGTTCGCTATAGCCATAATTACTCAATTTATCTAAGGCAAGGATGTCTATATTTCTTGGTTCACTCTTCGGTCTATGGGCTGGACAGCCGAGGGATCGGATTTCGGGTCTCGGTAGGTGAAAGATTTTCCCTTCCACGTACTCCAGACGGGGCATTGGGGCCCACCCAGTCTCTTCTACAATGGATACCGGGGGATATTTCCTCTGGAGTAAAGCGGGAAGGAAGTGAAGCTGAACACTCACCTCCGACTAGTGCCGAAGTAAAGAATATGTGGATATATACATCCGTTCCCCCCATACGGTTTCATGGCGTAGAGCTTCATTAACTAAGCATAGGAATAACTTCACCTTTTTACTCTACGAATCTGAAGACGGGGAGGCGGTATGTTCCTCAAAAACGCCGGTTTTCACCAAGAAATATAAACTTCCTCAAGTTGGTGTGTCAAATACATTCTGAAGAATTTTGTTCAGAATATTAACTTACTTATCCACCATGATGTTTAGTTACGAGTATAGCGATCATAATCATTTAGTTTGAAAAGTAAGTAGCTTAACTGAAAATATAAATTAATATCAAATGGGGGTGGAATTTTGAGAAAATTATTTTCAAAAGCTGTCCCTGTAACAGGCCGTTGAGGCCCATAGGGTTGTGAGATGTCGAGGCTTCATTTTCTCTAGACAATCGGCTCAGACATGGCGGTAAGACTGTCAGCCTTAAGCGCCGGCCGCCCTTTACCCCGAGGAAGGTTCCTGGTATTCATTTCTGTTAGAGGGTTAGTCGACTCCAGGGCCATAGTGCAGCTGGAAGGATTAGATAAATGAAAAATCCAACGACATAATCGGGAATCGAACCCGTGACCTTCCGTCTTTTAGCATAGTGCCTCAACGAACTGCATTATCACGTGTTCCAAGTTTTGTTAGAAATAATGTGTAAAAGCAGACAGAAACACAAAAGAAACTGCAATTAAACATTTTAATTTGTGGCCCTTCGTACTCTGATTGAAATTAGCTTTGTGCATCAGTGCTACACTTCTTGAAAACTGGTCATAATTTTAGAAAACTGTATAAATTACAGGACGAGAACGAGGTTGCGGGACGGCCGCCGGAGACAAGCCTACGTTATTAAACATGCACTAAGGATTTTCTCTTGACGGACTTAATGAACAGAAGCCGTTGGGAAATCAGCCCTTGCTGGAATGGTCGCTTGCGTTCTCTTCTTTATACTGATAATACTACCATGACAAGAAGGGTTCAAAGTCACAAAAATGTGTTTCTTTACTTAGGGTAGTGTGAGAATGATGCTCTCAGTATTAGGCAGTAAATGGCCCATTGTACCAATCACGAATGGTAGTTGGAAGAAATGAGGCAATTAGTGGAATGAAATTCGGCAGGAAAAACCGAAGTACCAGAAGAAAACCTCTGTCAGTGCCACTTTTTACATATAAATTGGCCCAGAATCAAACCCGAAACTGCATAATAAGGAGAGTTATAACATGTACTCTTCTCCAAGTATAGTTAGAATGATCAAGCCAAGGAGAATGAGATAGGCAGGGTACATAGCACGTATGGATTTGAAGATGAATTCCTATAGAATATTGGTGGGAAAGCCAGAAGGAAAGAGACCACTGGGGAGACAAAGACGTAGGTGGGTGACCAATATTAAAATTAATCTTAGAGGGATGGGGTGGTATGGATTGGATTGATCTGGCTCAGGATAGGGACCAGTGGCGGGCTCTTGTGAACACGGTAAGGAACCTTTGGGTTCCATAAATTGCTAGGAAATTCTTGAGTAATTGCACAATTGGCAGCTTCTCAAGAAGGGCTCAGCTCCATGAGTGAGTGAGTATCATACTCAGGCCACCGCCTGACCTATAACATGGCTAAAACCATGATCTAGACCGGACGAAGATTGGACATGATATGTTTAATTTCAGCAAGGTGTCAAACCTGTGAATTAAACCATTGTACATGGAATTTTCAGTGAAGCAGGAAGAAAAGTGGCAAGGAATTCACTTCAAATTCATGTACACAGTGATGAACTCTTCAATAAAACATCAGTTTAGGGATTAATGATGTTAATTAGTATGAATCAAGCTGGACTATGAGAACAATAACAAAACGCATTCACCAATAAATAAAACATGTTCGAGAAGCTTGTGTTTTTCTGTGTTCTTCCTGCTGTATTATACTTTCAGAGACAATTCTTATAATTCTGTAGCCTTCCACGTCACAACAGCCTCAAGATGCATACGTTTTCCTCATGAAAAGCTAGTTACAGACAGGAATAACTTGTTGAATATCAAGTTTAGACTTCAGTTTCATGTCTCACACTGCTATACGAGTAAGAAAACTGACAAATTGCAATTGCAGTACAATTACAGAAATGGGGATTAGAATATTTCCATCCTCGACACATAATCGGCCACAAGAAAATTCAACGAAACATTCTCTTCTGTTTCTGGTATTTCTGAACCTTGCGGGCAGCTTACCACCAACAAAAGCATTTGTAGCAGACCATGGAAAATAACGGCATACAACATATATTCAGCCCTCTCTCATCTGTGGTTTGTAGCAGGAATCATTGCCCAAATATTTACTCTTCATCAGCATTGGGGGAGTGTCAGTAATATTACTGATATAATTTTTGAATTGGTAGCAGTGATCAGTAATAGTTCCATAGGAATATATTTAGTGCTTAATAGAAGAAATTACAGCTAATTATTTAAAAATGCAAACAATATTCTACAGTTAAAAACTTCAATTTGGCAGGAAACATCATTTTACTCTAAGCGAAGCATCGCATCAAAATGCAGTTTCCTCATGCAACAAATTGTTCAGCTGTATGGATATATCCATTTATTCTAGGGTGTACTGAAATAAATGATGGAAGAAGAAAACACAGAGAACACAAACAATATGTCCGGTCAGGAAATGTACTGGAAATATTTCTGTTTCAAAATGTGGTTACCAGCTAATGCCACACGTTCACCAGTGTATCAATGCTTGTGGATATATCAAACTTTTCCTATAATCAGTTGTCATGAACTTTTCTTCTTCTTCTTTCCTTGGCACTACAGCCCCAGTGGGCCTAGGCCTACCTCCATGAACTTGTCACGAACTTTACCAGGTATAATTTGTCATTTTTCTCAGTAACAACTTTAGCAGCAGCTCACTTCAGTATTTTGGCCATTATTTGGAAAAACGCCACCAAGACCATATTAATATTAGGCTCCACACAAGCTACAGAACAGAAACCAACAGACTCGAAGTCAGCCGCTGAAAATCTTCTTAAAGACAGAACACATGAATTGCAGACTAGAAAAGGTTGTAGCAAGGCTATAATTCTGAAGCACCACAGAGAAGACTGTAGTGTGACTGTAGGCCTACATGCAAGTGAAGAACTACAGTCGAGAATAAATGTCAAAGAAGATGACACAGGAAATACCCAACAGAGATATGATCCAGCAGATTATCTGATTAAGTGCATCAAATACCATCAAGCTCTACTTGAGTACATTTCTTTCAAGTCACTCTTTTCTAACCTAATTATCTTGCAAATATAGTGAAGTATAGTGAAAGAAGAGGCAAAAACTTAAATACGTCCCCACATGATTAGAAATTTTAAGCCCTTCCACATCAGCGATTAAATTTTTCCATCATCAGAATTAATAACAGGAAAGATTCAGATACTGTGTCTAATTCATAAAACAAATTTATTTACATACTGCAGTTGTACATCATGTTTAGGTTATTGTAAATTAATAGTCACAAGACAAATGCCAGTCTAAAAACCCGAAATTAATGGCAGTGGGGATTCGTTGCCTTGAACATGCGACACCCTCTCTGCTTAAGTTGACATTAACTTCCCCGACAAGCGGCAGTCGCTCAGTCAGTATAGTTCACGTGCAGACTAAAACCACAGTTTTTTTTATATGAACAAAAGGTCAACAAAAATAAATTTTTATTAAACGAAAAGTACAATTGTATTGTATGACCTGCCACACTGGAAGGACAGTGGATGAAGAGAGAAGAATGGCAGCTGGGAATTGAAAGACAATAATGACATTAATATACTGACAGAAATCACATTTTAAAACATGAACATACAACAGAACATGTTTCTTTGACAATTACCTCAAACCAGGGACTGTTAACCATTTCTGCATGACTGGCAACTAGAAAAGAAACTTATAATTTATAGCTGAAACAGTATGAATATTCTGAAAGAAATATGAGTATGAATTGAACTATGTAGATTTAAAGTTCTCACAGTGACGGTTATGAAGAGTGTGTCTTCTGGGATATAATGCTGTGTAGTCCTTTAAAGGCTCTGCTTGCGACCTGCTTCATGCTGATATCTTGATTGGCTTCTTCTTCCACGCTGAGGATTGAGGCAACATGTTCCTCTGAACTGTCAGTTGACTTTC